TCTTCTTCTTCTTCTTCTTCTTCTTTGGAGTACTAAGGGCTTCCTTCACACAAAGTAAAATGGGAAGATGGTCAGAGCGCCTCTTGGAAAGATGAGTAACAAAAGAGCCCGGGAAATTATTCTTCCAAGCTTGGTTAGCAAAAAACCGGTCCAATCTCTCTTGTACATTCTCACTGCCTCCTCTATTGTTGGTCCATGTAAAATCATGTCCCATGTACCCCATATCCTCCAACTGGCAGAACTGAATAGCATCTCTCAAAATTTCAGCTTCATCATTATTAAAGGCACGACCACCTTGCTTCTCACTTGAAAGTAACATGAGATTGAAGTCCCCACCGCAACACCACGGATCATCAGTGAAGTCCATCAAGTTCTTCAGCAGCATACCCGTCTTATATTTATTTTCGTCCTCGGGGTGACCATAAATACCTGTGAATCTCCATCCTTCATGAGTGTGAGAGTTAACCCAAGCATCAATGTGATTTTGTGAGAAGGAAAGGATGGAAACATCTAAAGTATTTTTCCACAAAAGAGCAAGGCCTCCACTTCTTTTCCTCCCTTCACCAACACACTCCACGGTAAGAGCAACATTAAATTTCAGCTTGTTCTTTACTTTTTCTAATTCATGCTTCTTCAATCTAGTCTCCGAAAGAAAAAGCAGTTGGGGGCTCTCAAGAAACACAACTCGTTTCAAGGCATTGACTGCAGAGGTGCTCCCCAGGCCCCTACAGTTCCATGATAAAATGTAACTCATTTGTCACCGAGAGCCCATTGTGTGGGGCTCGCCACATGGTCAGAATTGGAGACGTGGGTTCTCTTTTTGCTTCTATCATTAATATCAGCATCCATCAAGTCATCCGTGCTCAATTCCTCACTCCTCTCCCTTCTTTTTTCTCCTGCAATTTTCAAGTCAGTAGACATACTAAGATCACCATCTCTTGGGTTTCGTTTCCATCCCTTCCCTTGAGATTTCTTTGTACTATTATTCGATCCCTTAGCTGTGATAGTTGACAACAGAATTTCATCCTTTTTACCACTAGTAAATGTGAAAAATTCATCAGATTTTTGTTGCACAATTTTATTATCATGCTTTCCACTGTTTAAGCCAACACCTTCAAGCTTGCTAACAACTTCATGAACATGAGTGCGTGTAGTATTTTTATCGACAGGTTGCTTAGGTTTGGTAATGAACAATGGTCTAGCACAACTAACACCCTCCTGCCCACCATCACTCTTCTTATAAGCAGCATTATACTTCCATGGGGAGGCTTTCAACCAAGACCCATAAGAGACCTCAGGTTCATCTATCTCCCTACACTCCTCATAGTCCTTCACACCATGACCCATTCTACCACAATAAAAGCAGAAAATAGGGGGTTTTTCATACCTCACATCGAAGCTTTCCTCAAGACCTCCTCGCATCTTCAATCTGACAGACTTGACTAAGGGCTTGCGAACATCAATAAGGACACGAATTCGAATTGACTTATCAATTCCCACTTGAGCAGCATTGTCCATCTTCACAAAGGTTCCCAATTTATTTCCGATCTTCTCCACATTGCTTAGGTTTAACCTCCCTTTTAATGGGAGGTTATAAACCCTTACCCACATAGGAAGAGCGTGCAAGGGTATATCAGAGGGCTTAGTCGAATCATTCGTCTCGCCAAGAACCAGGGCATGTCTATCAAAGTGCCAAGGTTGATCTTCCAACACCTTATACTTATCCCTCCAATGGTGAAATTGGAACATGAACATGTTTTTGCCAATGTTCGATATCTCGACTCCATGCTTAGGTTGCCAAACATCTTTCATTGTTGTTATGAATGCGTTAACATTAACGTTGCGGTTTGTCCAGATTTTCCCTACCAACGCAAGTTCAATCCGGGCATCCTCATCCTCTTCTCCATTATCATCCCACTCAATTGCCTCTTCAGTATCTCCCTCCTTCGATAAAGCAGCAATAGCTTCATCATCATTATTCGAACCAATTAACGAAAGGTTTATTTCTTGATTTTCCATAATCAATGATTAGCACAACGAAAGGCACAAAAACCTGAGATTAAAACTCGAAAATTCGAGAAAAATCCTCAAGAAAAGGAAACCCTAGTAGAAACTAGAACAAAACCCTCCCAAGGAAAACCTAGAGGGTACATTAATTTAAAGTTTCCTTAATCTTTGATAAAAAATATAGCATACCATGAAGCTTTTAATTGATGGCTTGTTGATGAGATGAAGTTGATTTTTAACCATCGAATTTTCATCTTGCGAAGATGTTGCTTCTAATCCTTGTGCCGGATTCGTCGCTAACAAAGCTAAGATGATCAACATACTTCCTGTAATTTGGATCCTCATTATTGTACCATATATTAAAACCATCAAAAAATTGGACTGCCTCCTATTCTGCATATATATGTATAGAAAAAAAAAATTGTTTAATTTAAGGAAATAACAGTTACAAAAATAACAAAGTTTTTTTTTTTTTTTTTTTTTTTTTTTTTTTTTTTGGACACAACAAAAATCTATCTATCTATCTATAACTATACTAAAACAGGGAACACTACAATCAACAGCTCCACATGTCATCATGTCATTAAAAATATTCCCGCCGTTTTCCACTATCCTAAATAAACAGTGGGCACTACAATCAAGTAATCAACAACTCCACATGTCATCATGTCATTAAAAATATTCCCGCCCTTTTCTACTATCCTAAATTAAGAAATTAGTTCACTAAATTTTGTAAGACCTTTTATTTCCTATAAATTTTACACATAAAATTTGCATATAATATATTTTTTTTTTAAGGAAAATTTACATATAATATTATACTAAAATTATAACTAAAATTATATTCATATAGGACCAAAGTAAAGTATAGTAATTATCAATTATTATACTAATTATAGTACAAGATAATATTATCAATTATTATACTAAAATAGAATCAATTATTATAATATATCCTTATTCTTTTTTTTTTTATGGAATATATTCTTATTCATATGAATATTGTATTTTATTTTCAAATATATAGTAGTAAGATATCTTACATATTTATTATATTTTTTTTATTCTTGATATTGATCTAACCGTAAACAATGCAATTTATAATTAAAAATTGTATAAGCAAAAATACAATTTAATTACGGAGTACTATGTACTATATCATTTTTTTATAGATATATTAGCAAAGTTGAACGCATTATAATCTAATTTATACAAGTATAATTCATTAAAGTTTGTTTGATATCCTTTTACTAAAAAATATGTGATTGGACAATCACTGAGCCACAATGATAAAAATAGGAAATATGTTTAAAAACACAAATTTGGAAAAGAATTTGTTAACAAGGGAATGACATGTATTATCCTGAAATTCACTTTTAGTATAGGTTTTAGTATAGGTTTATGACCTAACAAACGAGTCATTCGGGTCGAGTCTGGGTCGGGTCATTTCGGATCAGCTAACATTCGGGTTGGGTACATGTCGGGTCGGGTCAATTTGGGTTTCGGATATGATTCTGGTTAGGTATCGGGTCGAGTTTGGGTCTGGTCAACTTCGGGTCGGGTCTGTTTGGGTCATATCATTTTCGGGTCGAATATGTTCGTGTCATATTCAGGTCAGGCCAGAATCATTTGTGGATCAAACTTAAATCGATAATTTTATATTTTGTTATTATTATAATGAGAACTATCAATTCAATTTATGAGCTTGGCTACGGTTGGAGATGAAAATGTTGAGTCATTTTTGGCACTAGACATTTATAGTTCAATTATAAGGTAATTTTAATTCAGGACATTTCAAGTATCGGGTCTATTTAGGTTAAACACTTCGAGTCAACTTTAGGTCGGGTCAATTTCGAGTTGGGTCATTTCGGGTATTGGGTCAACTTCGAGTCTGGTACAATTGGGTAGGGTCAGTTCGGGTGTCGGGTCAACTCCATTTTTCAGTCTAGTAGTGATCGAGTAGGGTCAATTTTGGGTTTTGGGTCGATTTTTTAGGTCGATTTCAGGTCACGGGTTGGATCATTTGGGTCGGATCATCGGATCTGGGTAAGAATTACCAGGTCTAGGTTTATAGATGTATTAATTATTTAAAAATACTTTTTTGTATGCTTTCTTAGACTTGATAAAATTTATTAATAAATAAGTCAACTATATTATAAACACTTTTGTGTAAATCGGATTTACAATAATAGTAGTGTACATCGAATTTGGCTCTCGAAACACTAAAAAAAAACAATGATAGGATAATGTACTTTTAAGTTATTTTGGGTAATGTTTAACCTGATTTGATTTTGAAGTAAATAGACAATGGGATAATAAGTTTTATAAGGGTAAAAGTATTACTCGCTCATATTTTGTTTTTAATAATTTAAATATTCTATCCTTATCAATAAAGCATATATAACTTTTATATATGTCAGAATGACCCTGATTTATTTTGGATAACTTTTGATCTATTTTTTTAGGGCGAATTTTCAACCAATATATTTAATATTGTACACCTAATTTTTTATTTTTAAAAAGTCCATGACTATATTATGGGACGATAGCGTATGTTTTGTTATATATATTAATTAAAACAAAAGAGCACATGAAGGATTGAAGGGTAATATATAAGATATGTGAATGTGCATGACTAGATTTAAATAGGTAAAATATGACCAAGATATTTGTAAAGGTTGTAAACCTCTATCATATAACTATTTCTAAACCATTTTATTCAACATCGAATTGAAAATATGATACGGATCGGAGTGCCATGATAAATGATTAGATGGGTACACGTTATTGTGACTAAAATTATTATACACTAAAAGCTTTTAATATAATAAGTAAGAGATTAAATTTTGTGAGAGTTAATATTTGAACATTTAAACCGTGTAATAGCACGGGTACTATACTTGTAACAAAGCTATTAAGAAGTAAATATTGAATAACTTATAATTGTAAGAAATGACAGAAATAAACATTGGGGAAAGAAAGATTGTTATATTTTTTTTTTTGGTAAGATTAGTTTTTTTTGTTTTTTTTTTTTTTTGAAAGGAGATTACTTTTTTTTGTTTAAGGTAAGATTTTTGGGTAAATCTTTTCAAAATTGGAAATAATTGTGAATGGACATCAAAATCACACATCAATAGATGCAATTAATATTTTACTAAGGAGTAGTTAATGCCCAAGCTGCTCGACTTTTTCAATTAATAAATGGTTGGATTATTTTTATTCATAATATGAATAATAAATTTATGTAGTCGATTAATAACTGAAATTATCAATATGTAACCAACCTTTTTTTTAATTCGGTCAAATGGAACATAGGATTGTGTATGTTAAAATTGAAATTTTCTATCTTATTTTTCACCCAAAATTAATTTCTATTTATTTATTGCTTTTATATCAAGCTTTAAAACTAACTTGAAAGTGTTGTCCAAAAAAAAAAAACAAAAAAAACTAACTCGAAATTATTTATTTTTTTAATGATAAACATGACGACAAAAAAACACAATATTTTTGGGAGGAAAATATTTTATGTGGTGTTGACACTTATAATCTACAAATTATTTTGGGAATTACTTTAGTTTATTAGTATTGATTTCATTTATTAACTAGTTTTTAGGCTAGTATATAGTATAGTATAGATTCACTTTTAGCTCATTTTATGTACGCCGTAGTTCTTACGGTTTTATTCTTCCTACATCATTTTCTGATTTTTTATTTTATTTTTTTTATTATTGTTAATGATACTTAGATTATTTAATCTCACCAGACTCAATTCTTGGATCTGCCACTGATAATTAAGTGTGATTGTATGAAAATCCTTCCCGGCCAATTGCCTATGTCAAAATAGCATTCTCAAACATTCTTAGTTTTATTATTATTATTATTATCACTGCACCACTCTAATCAAAGAAGAAAAATAAAGTTTAATCATACATTATGTTGTATTTCAATGCTTGCAGCCAGGAGGTCCACCAAAATAAATAAAATTTTTCCAATTTGAAGATTCATCATCATCATATCTATCATGATTTTCATTTGTACCAGGAGATTTTCTATACCAAATATCGTAACATTCAGGCCTTGTCATATAATATTCAATAGCTTTTTCATCAGGAAAACCTTGTGGTGCTCGCAACTCTAGCCACTTCATAAGGCATGCAACTGAAAAATTTTCCTTAGAGAAATGACCGCTTCCCATGGCCGGAGTCGGCTCTATGATCGGGCTTTTTATTTCTCCTCCCCAACCCGCTTGTGTCGCTCCGTTGGCTAGGCTTGTAAACAACTCCTTTGGCCAATATCCGACGGTTTCTTCTCCGTTTAGGAGAAACCAATTCTTCGTTCTTACATCCTATGTAAATTGATATAAACAATTAATAACATAGAGAGTCGTACGTAACGTATAAGTGACACGATTTTAAGTTAATCAATAATAGTTGGGATATTTAATGATCGAATAGTTACCTGTTGTACTGAAAGGTCTAGAAAATATTGATGACCTAATCTTTTTGATACCGGACTTAAAGCTTGGCCAAGGGTGACTTTTTGACTAGTTTGTACGAAACCTGGACATAGTGCATTGTTACAACATGTGCTCTTCCCGCTATCTATCTGTAATTGTAATAATAAGAGTCGCATTATCAATTACTTGTGTAATTAATCTAATAATGTAATACAATATAATCATAAAAGTCGTGTTATTAATTACTTGTGTAATTAATCCAATACAATATAATCAATTGTTGCTATTGATGTATAAAAGATGATATGGCCCGTATATCTCACCGTCCAATAAGTGTATAGTGTAGGAGAGTTGGGATTTAGATATGGATTCACCTGCAAAAATTTCATTTGTAGAGATGCAAGTAGTTAACAAGGGGATATGATAATCTAATGGGACGGAGGGAGTAGCACTTACCGCCCATCCTGCTACTATAGCGTTAACATTTAAACCATCGCCGCTTCTAACATAGAAAGTAGCATCACTAAGTTGGTCTGGTTTTACATCATCTAGGCTCCATAGGTTTATTTTCCCCGCTGCTCCTGTGTTTGGAGTAGATACCCCTATACTCGCAATCTACAAAGCATTACAATTTGGTTGAGTAAATAAACTTGTTACTCCGTAGTATTAGTCTGTTAGGCATGACAATGGGTTGTGCAGGAAGACGGACTATCACATGGTGTCTCTAATATTAGTGGTCCATAATAAATTAATGCAAACCAGTTATTTTGTAAAAATACAATACTAGCCTAATAGTGCTGCCGGAAACAAGGCATAACAGCCCATTTGGCATGCAGTTATGCATAAATTAAGGGAATTAAAATGTTTTATTTATTTGCATGTAGTAGTAATTATGCATCAATTGCAAGGGAAACTCATTATATGTGTATTTGTTCATAAATTGTCGTAGATACACAATACCAAATTAAATAGGCCGTAACAATTAAACAAGAAAGTTTAAAATTGGTAAAAGAATCACCTCATTGACCAGTTGAACATCATTAGGGTGAGCAAATTTGGAGGAATTTGAAGTTGAAAATGAGGATATCTCCATCATAAGATCTTTCTCTTGTATCCTTTTGATGAGCACCGTTCCTTTTGGACATCTCATGTTCCTTGGTAGAAGTTGAGAAACACTCAATATTGAGGATGAATTATCATTTAATTTTGCCCGCTTAGGAATCTTGAAATTAGGTTTCATCTGCACATTTGATTGAAAATTTGTTAATTTTATTAGAGTTATTTTCATAACAAACTTTATTGATTTATCGCAATAAAAAAAGATAATAATAATAATCCGTGATAATAATAATAATAATAATAATAATAATAATAATAAATAATAATAATAACAATAATAATAATAATAATCCGTAATTATAATAAATGTTGAAGAGGAAAACAGTCAAAACCTGTATAGAGTGATTCTTTAGCAAAGGATGATCAAATGCAAGTTGCTTATGAACCTCCACACAGTCCAAAACATCACCATGTTGAGTCTAATTAATTAAACAAGCAAAACAAATTAAATGGAGTTAGATAACTTCACAAAATAAGCTTTGATTTCATGATTTTATAATAAAATTAATATTTACACAAAATGCTTAAAAGCAAGAAGCGTAAATTAGTCACCAACCTTGGTAATACAAAATAATTAACAATTTAGTTTATGTATTTAATAAAATCATGATCTTTAGATAAAAGAACCTTTGATGCAAGAATTTTGTAATTCATTGAGAGTGCAACTCAAGGATGGACGTACTCACCACAAAACTTTTAATTGCTGGTTTGTTGATGAATTTGAGTCGCCTTTTAATGGCTAGTTTTTCAGCTTGTGACAGTTTAACTTCTGATCCTTGTACAAAGTTAAAATTATAATATGGTACTATTAATAAAACCAATAACGTTAACAAATGTTTCTCCATTTGATTTAACAAACGATCTAACTATATAATAAAATATCTGTAGAGCTACTCGAAAAATTTATAATTATGAAAAAAAAATATATGATATGAGTATATATAGCTAGAAAAAGTTACTGAGTATTCATCAAGAAGGCTACTTAGCTTGGACAAGCATTGATGATTTAACCGTAATATTAATTAGTTTGAAATTTTACACTATTCACATTATTTTAATCGTCAATTTTAATTTATTGATTTAACATGTATTTCAAACAGAAGAAAGTAATCAAGAACCTAAAGTCCCAATTGGTAACAGTTTCTAACTTTTAATAATCCGAAATAATATCATTATTTGATCATTTGTAAATTACATTGTAATCAATAACCTAAAGTCCCAATCGGTTACAATATCATTACATTTCATTTTAGAAGTTCAAGCTATCCAAATGTAAATGTTATGACTGAGTGGAAAGTATTCACATAGTTCTAGGCTTTATTTTGTCTTATAATGCATGGTGCGAATATCTTGACAAATGGACAAACAAAATTGCATGGTTTTTCAAATCAAGGTTATCAAATATGTTAGACAGTTGTTGAAAATTAGGTAATCCGTATGAAATTAAGGAAGACTTATTAACCGCTATAATAAATATGTAGTAAATTAATGTAATTTCTCTAAATCTATCTCTACATATGTAAGGGACAATTTTGTTCCTTGAATTATGTTGACCTTGAAGTATTTTTTTAATAAAATAAAATGCCAATTACACAATTTCTGAAACAATAACATTCACTTCATATAAATGTAATTGTCTCTAAATCGCTTTATTAGTTATTTGAACAAATAATAATATCACTTGTAATTTAGCCGAGATTATGTGGCCAATTGACAATTGACCAAATTGATAAAAATATTGTACCAGCAATTTTGCACAAAAAAAAAAAAAAATTGACTCCAATGACAATTTTTTTAGAAAAATTGAACTCAAGGGAGCCAAAAATCTATTTTTTCCGACAAATCTTTAAAATGCAATAATTGTTTCGTACACCCGGGTGTACCATGCGCATGGTACACCCGGAAGAACATCACCCTATGAATAAAAGAACATTACCTATAAATAGAAGAATATTACATATAAATAAAAGAACATTGCCTATAAATAAAAGAACATTACATATAAATAAAAGAACATTACTTATAAATAAAAAAAAATCGTAGTTATAATAATTTATTATACATTACAAACGAACATAGAGTACATCAAGAAGAACGTTACATATAAAATACAGAACATTACATACAATAAAAGAACATAACTTAAAAATAAAATAACATTACATATAAGTATAAAAGAACATAATCTTTCTGAAAAAGAACGTTACATATAAATAATGGAAAAATGCTACTACCCAAACCCATGGAAGAAGATGATGAACAACAATGGTAGTGCCAAAAATTCAAACAATCAAGTAATTTCATGATAATAAAGTTTTATATGAACAACAAACATTATCACAAAACACAAAATATATGTAAAAATAACAAGCAAAAAGAGAGTTCACTATTGAAGCACAACCTAGGGTTTCATATTCATAAGTAGAACAAAGATAAACAAAGGAAGAGAAGTCATACCTCAAATGAGTAGAAAACCCATGTAAAGTGAATTAATAGTAGAAATCAAGCAAGTTGAACACTCAATTGCAAGTTTTTTAGCCAAAATAAAAAAAATACCCAAAATTCTCAAATCATGAAAAATCCGAAAATTTGGTTGTGAAATTCGGATTTTGGAGTGTAAAATCTAGTATAAATGTGTTTGTGAGTGATGAATTAAGCACATAAAAACTATAAAAATCAAGAAATAAAATGGAAGAAGAAGTTAGAGGGAGAGGAGAGAGAGTATTAAAGAGAGAGAAAATGAATGAGTGAAATGAACATTACAATACATATAAAAAAAAGAACATTACATATAAACGAGGCTTCATAAAAAAAGAACATTACATATAAATAAAAGAACATTAAATTTGTCCCAATGTTCTTTTATTTATATGTAATGTACTTCCGGATGTACCATGCACATGGTACACCCCCCTCTACCATACTATTTTCATTCAAAATGCTTAATACTATAAATTTTCCAATTAATACTCCAACCCCTTTATTTTGCTATACTTTTTTCCCACCCCACTTATTATTTCCTAAATAAGAGGTTGGGAAATTAAATAAAAATTAATATTTATATCTTTTCGGAATTGATTGAAAAAATAAGTGGGAAAAACCAACGGTTTCCCAATCTAGTGTTAGAAATAAAAAAAATTCCTAATCTAGTGTTGTGTCAAAATAAATTTCATATTCTAATGTCCATGTAGGTTCCGATATACAAAGCTAGTATATTTTTTGGTTTGGTGTGGTTAACTAAAATATATTTAGGGTTTACAACTTCTTTTATTTTTATTATTTTTTTACTTTTTTATTTTTTTTGGAAAAGGAAGCTTCATATTTATAAAATCAGATTAAGTCAAGTTGCACCAAAGTTTATACAGTCAAACTTCAACTCCTATATTTTTTTAACAAGGAAAGGAAATTATGTTACAACTAGATGATTGAAACATCTAGGAATATCATTGTGTGAGATCAAAAGGGGCTTCCATGATTGCTCAGAGATAGAAAATTTCAAATCATGAAGGCTGCTACTACCGAAAGCAATTTAAAAAATATAAAAAAATTAAAAATTAAAAAAACTAAAAAAAAAAAAAACCTACAAAAGCAGAAATCAAACTAAAAGCAAAAAAATAGATATTAGCAGGGAGCCCAGGCGTGACTCTAGAACAGCAGCAGTCACCATTGATCATATAGTTGATTGCTTTTGTCCCAATTCACCCACTGTATATAAGTCAAATACCAATTCATCCATTTGAATGATGCTCCACCACTCGTATTTTTTAGGCAAAGTACCCATACTAAGTCCATTATTGATCACTGTAATTGCTTTTCTTCCACCTCTCAATTCCTTTGTTTGATATACGTTTCGTTGATAGCGGTAATGAATCCACATATAATAGTTTACAATGTGGGATATAATTTCAGATTTGGGGGAGTTCATACATAAAATTACGTTACAAAATAAAACATCATATAATCCAAGTTGGGGCATAATTTTAAATTGAAGGCATAAATTAAGATTTGGGGAAATTATAACATACCAATTTTTTTTAATCGAAAATTCAGCAGATGAATTGTAGTGTTGGCAATGGCTATTCGAGATCGTCAATTTTGTTGGCTTGCAATGGTGGGCGGAGGACAGGGGCGGACCCACTTAGTGTCATAGTGGGTCCGGTGACACACTATTAATTTTGAAAAAAAAAAAAAAAAAAACAATTACACTCACTCACGCATCTTTCCACTCCCAAAGGCCAAAGACCCAGAACCCCTAATTCCCTTACAACACAGCCACGCTTCCCCTAATCCCCTCTCTCTCTCTCTACTCTCTCCTCCATGGCTCCATTGAAGAATTGAAGCTTCAAGCATTCAAGCATACTCGGCTAGTCGGCTACTCGCAAAAACTCCATTGAAGGGGCGTTTGAGCTTTTTCTTCTCCACCGAAGCAATCTCAAAGGAGTCAAAGGTTAGATCTTGTTTAAGTTCTTTTTCTGTAATTATTTAGGGTTCTTCAAATTTTGGTAATTGTGGGTTGATAATTGAGTCAATCATTCGAATTTTGATAATTGTGGGTTGATAAATGAGTTGATAATTGCAGGGTCGAAATTCTCCATTGAAGGGGCTTCGTACTTTCACTCTTTCAGAGGCTCTGAGTCACGCCTCACGCTGAGCTTCGCTCCTTCATTGAAGCAGCCTACTGCCTACAGCCAGGTTAGATCTTGAACTCTTTACTCTTGACAATTTGACAAATGGTGTACGAATTTTTTTGTTAATGGAAGTAGAAATTGAAATGGGGGTTAATCGTACTTGTATTTGTATATTTATTTTTGTTAACCGTGTATTTAATTGTAGTTCTATAAGCCTATAACTATTGTGTATTTGTGTAAATTGTGCTATTTTAGGGAATTAGGGTGGTTTACTGGCTTACTGCCTGTCTGCCTGTCTCACTGTCTGCCTTACTGGTTTCGGTGGTGGTGCAGGGAAGGGGTCAAGGGGAGGGGGTGGCTGTGAAATTGGGCAAAATTGGTTATCAAAGACTCAAAGAGGCCAACTTTACCTGTGACAAACCCTTTACACTAGTTGATTTAGTCATGTTTTATAACTTGTTGATGTTGATTTGTTGGTAGAAAAAAAAGTAATTAGAGAGTATGATGGATTAATAATAATTTGACTTTATAAAAGAAAGGTTAACGAAAATGGGTGGTAGTTGTTTGTATGAAATTTCTTACAATGTTCATGATTCTGTTTTTGATTATATGCTATTTTTGTGATAGTTGGATTAATAGAAATGTTATGCTTATACATCTTTATCGTGGTGTAAAGTAGTTTTCTTGTTGGTTATCATTGTGGGAAATTTGGATAAGTCAAACATTTAGATTGATTTATCTCATTCACCCTTTAACTTCAATTTTAGAATGAAAAGAAAAACAACTCGAGACATTTTAAGTTTTTTTACTAAAAAAGTGCCTAATCTAAATCCTCCTCCTCCATAAAATGATTTACCTTCTCAAGAACGTGAACCAAATCCTCCACTACAAGAAAATGAACAAAATTCCCAAGAAAGTGAACCAAATACTCCTTCACATCATGCAAGTGAACAAAATTCTTCCCCCTCTCACAATTTCCCTCAAAATGAAGATGGACAATATTCTTACCAAGGTGGTTCGGATCCTAGTGCTCAAATTGGTGAAGGAAGATTAAGTGCACTTGATATTATTAATCTTCCACAAGACCCCGGAAAAAGAAGAAGGATGTGTGATTTTCATCCCGATGATAGGGATTTAGTGCGGAGAACATACATTCAAAGAAAGCCATGTCAACCTAAAGATCATGTGTTTCCTCAAACAAATTTTGGGCCGAAAAA